TTTTAGCAAACACGGCGGCTGCCTTTGCAGAGAGCTCAGGAGCGCTGCGAATGAGCAGCGCGCTCGTCGGCAGCCACCCTCATTAATATTTTAGCTCGGAGAGTTAACATTTGTCGAGAAGCATTTGCAGAGGCAGCGCGGACGTCTTTTCCCCAGGCACTGCAGGCTCATTGCTGCTCTGGGGCGGTGCTGGGAGCCGGGGCAGAGCCAGGGCAGAGCCAGCCGGAGCCCGAGCCCTTCCCGGGCAGCGTCGCGGGATGGCAGAGCCACGATTTCCCCCCTGGGACAGCCGGGCCCCGGTGCCAAGGCAACCAGCCCGCCATGCGAGATAGACAAATGGTTGTGGGTTTGTTTTTTATTTTTTCCCTTCCTGGTTCTTGGCAGAAAGTAAAATGTCCTTTTTGTTCGGTTTCCTCCTCCCCCTGCCCCATCGCCTTTCTTTAAAGGTTGTGTTCCAGATTTCAGCAGCCCACGTTGTGTAATAGCCCTGGAGAACAGCGTGGGCACTGGCTGCGTCCCACCGAGGCCGTGGCAGAGCCGCCCCTCGGGAGCTTGATCGCAGGGTTACCTGCTTGGAAAACATCTTCTGTACATTGCTGAGTGAAGCTCTGTTGTGCTTTGGATCGAGCTCCTACGATGCACACGTGTCAGAAATGATAGGGAAGGTACTTGGGGAAAATTTGGAGATTTTTGAATGTAAATAATCCTGTATTTCTACCTTAGCCTTGCAAAGCTGTGTGGAAATGAGGGACTCTTGCAGATAAACCCTGCTGACTTACAGCATTAGCCCCAGTGCCTGGGAGTTCGTCGCTCACAGAGCATCCAGCACTGTGCTTCTCCCTGCCACAGCACCTGCGTCTCCCCGGTAGTGCCCCGCTGGGGGTTTCTTCCTTCAGGCTTGTCGGAGATCCCCATTTTTTCTTCCCCTCCTTCCACTGTCCAAGGTGGGGGATGCTGCTGGGCTCTGCATCCTAAGAGCATCCGTCCGAAGGTCCCTGCACCTCGTCCGGAGGCTGCTGGGGTTGTGGATTTGGAGAGCGTGGCGTGGCTGGCGTGCTGGGCACACGGGAAGGGAGAGGAGGAGGAGGAGGAGAGCGTACTATAGGCTTTGTGTAGCGTGGAGGGGGATGTTGTGAGCACGTGTGTGTGTAAATAAGGATCTGTCATACCAGAGGGAAACAGCAACGCGATTGTTTCCTGGCTCGGGTTCCTCTGCTGATACTGGCAGCGTGGAGCGCTGTAGCTGCTCATATGGTGCGGGTGCTGCCTTCCCTGCGCTGGCACACGGCCGTAGCCGCTCCGCTCGCCCGGCCGGTGGGGCTGGTGGCACCGAGGGGAGCTGCTGCTCGCGGTGGTGCCTGTCCTGGTGTCC